CACACACACACACACACACACACACACACACACACTCGGTCCAAAAACGAAATAGGCAGGATGGTGTCGTGTGGTAAAGTGCACCCTCTCTCTCTCTCTCTCTCTCTCTCTCTCTCTCTCTCTCTCTCTCTCTCTCTCTCTCTCTCTCTCTCCCTCTCTGTGTGTCACAGTGGACTTCGTTTTCTCTCCTGCCCTCCGTTCAGCCGCGGCATGGCCGCGGCGGGTAGACTTGTGTATATAATATTTTCGAGTGGAACTTCAGGCGATGATTCATGTGTCATTTTTCGGCCTTCGAGTGAACTCTCATGTAAATGTTCTTCTCATGCATGCTGTGAATTGGGATTGTATTCGGGAGGATCATTGCATTGGTATCAGACCTGGAGCCCGTTGCATCCACGGTGGAGGAAGTAAGTGGCAGCAGGGATTCGGGCCGATGGGTGGAGTAAGAGTCGAGGCTTGACTGGAGGGAGGAGGTCGAAGTAGAAGGGGCAGTTTATGGTGTGTGGCGAGTGGAGTACATACTTGCATTCAGCAAAGGCCAATTTCCACTACTACAGAGACATAGAGAGAGGAAATAAGTGCAAGGGGAAGACGATCTCTGGCAACATTCAGGCCGGAGAAAAGCTCTTAGTCACTTTTGAGGGAGGCAGCGCAAAGGAGATCCCAATTGAACAGGTTGACTATAGGCAAATCGAGCAGTATGAGGGAGGTCAAGTAGTCGAAGGAGGCAACTACGCGACAGTGTAGACCATGGGGGAGGGCGAGGAGGAGGTCGAGGAAGAGGAGGCCGTGGAGGAAGAGGAGGTCGGGGGCAGGCCGCCCCGGGGTTTGGAGGCTATGGGGGCTTCCAAGCGGGTGGTATGGGCCATGGTCCCCCGCAAGGTGATCGGGACCCCCCGCTTACCAAGGTGGAGGAGGTGGCAACTATGCCCTCTCTAGTAATAGTGGTTATGGGCTTAGGAGACTGCGTAGATATCCCCCTAATCCAGGGTGTGAGGAAGGAGAGCCCTGGAAGGCTCTAAAGATGTCAGAGTCCCTATGGCGCAAAGAAGGAATCATGGGACCACATAGATATCCCCCCAATCCACGGTGAGATGAAGGAGAGTCCCCGAAGGGACAGGTATGATGTGAGTGAGTGAGTAGCGAGAGCGGCGAGGAGTGAGGTGGGGAAGTAAGAGGACGCATGGGGTGTTGAGGAGCGGATTTGAGGGATGATGGCTAAGTGCTGCCTGAGTGCAGGCGTGTGACCACACTTTGATTACTCTCTGATGTCATGGGGTATGGTGGGGTGCGAATGTGGTGTTTAGTGTTTATCGTGCCACATGTTAGTGGGTGAAATGGGTAGTCAGGCAAGTCTTCCTGGATGGTCAGGACTGCTGTCTTTTTTTCTTTTTTGTCTGAACTGATGTAACAACTCTCTCCTTTCACTGTTGCTTCCTGTCTGTATCCGGTCGCGTTTGTGTCCTACCTTGTTGCCACTTTGAATACCTTTGTCTTGTTGTCAAACGTGGGCACAGATCCTTTTTTTGCTCTTGGGCTTTGGCCTTTGTCCTTCTTGGGGTCCCCCTTTCCTCTCCGGGCCGCTGCTGTCTTCTTCTGAACTGTATCTTGAAAACCGCTCCGCTGCCTTAGCTTTTTCAGTGGGCCCCTAGCCCTGCTGACACGTAGAGAATTCCCAGGAGTCGTATCGTACCTTTTCCGTAATTGGAAAAGGAGTGATAAATCTCGAAGGTATGCTGGAGTCTTCGATTTGGAATCTTGCGACGTCATCTTCGGCAACTGCTCCTTGGTGGCCTAGCGAGCTCCGATCTCACTCTTCGTTTGCTGCTCCCTCGAAATGGACGGCTGGATAATCTTCGACTTGGAATCTTGTGACTTGAAATCCACTCCTTCCTGGGCCGTCCTCTTCAGCAACTGCTCCTTCGTAGTGGCCCAGCAAACTCCGATCGCACATCTTCATTGGCTGCTACCCTCGAAATGGACAGCTGGACAGTATCCTCCGCTCCAAAGATAGTGAGATCCTAAAGGATACTCACTCTATCCGAGACGAACATTTAGATCGTCTCCTCCACTACTCTAAATGATGAAGTGTGCCTACGCTCTGTGCAGCACGACACCTCCAAGTGACATTGCCCCGCTCGCTATCACCCGATGGGCGAGACCCCGGACGGGTGCTGGTCGGTGCGACGGCGTGGAAATTAGCGCACCCACATAGCGCTAACCGACGGCGTGACCCCTCTCCTGACTTTCATTTTTTCTGTTTTATAACTTTTATTTTCTTTTTTTTTTCATGCACAAGAATCTTGAAGCTCTTCCCACTGACAATCCTGGACACCAACAATTGCATTCCAGCCTTTTGCTGGAACACAAGGACACAAGCTTATTACTTTGCCTGAACACTGAATATTAATATTCATCCAATTACTGTGAATTATGATTGCTGAGATGGACAAGGTTGTGATAATAGGAGGAAAAGGAATGCATGCTGCGTGGGAAATTAGCAGTGACTATCTACCCCTCCCCCCCCCGTGATTCAGAATTCTGCTGATTGCATCCAGATTGAACTTGGGTCTGTATTTCAACGGTTCATGAGTGTACCAACCGAGCCAGTTGGTGCAGCAGTTACTATCTAAAACTCACTTCTTCACGAATGTGAGATCTGTCATTTCTTCTGTGACTTCCATGAGATCCGTCAGGATGACATCCTTGTCAGGGTTTCCAGCTGGGTAGAACTCCACAGCAACTCCTCTTCCACCCGGATAAAGCCTGGCATCATCAGCAGCAGCGACCGAAAAACAACAGAGTCTCCACGATTCAGAAGACAGAAAGTGCAAAATAGGGCCAATTCATCAAATCATGATGGGAGTGTGTGCAAGATGTTTCCTTTCTAATCTTGAAGACGACTATGAAGAAATATATCCCGCTGCAAAGTCCTGGAAAAAGAAAGGCCTTTATTTATGAACAAGGCAAGGCTAGCAGCTTCCCAAGCAGAGGGATGAAAGACCTGATTCTGCCCATTTTGATCTGTCAACGTTGAACATCCCATGTATGGATAGCGCACGTGAACACAGACCGACATTGGTTTGGGCATGCACCGCATGGCAGGCAACCAAAAAACAATTTGCCAATTTCATATGAGCCTTGTGCTGTGCCCGTGCAGCCCAACCAGATTTTGGGGGGAGTAAGTTCTCTCGCCAAGCTCTCTCTCTCTCTCTCTCTCTCTCTCTCTCTCACACACACACACACACACACACACACACACTCTCCTCGATTTCATCCCTACTCCTCCTTAGTTAATATTTACTATTATTATTTGCTAATTATTTTGCTCTTATTGACCATTATCGGTTATCATTGAACTTACTATTGCAAGAAAAATGAGCAACAGCGAAATGACAGAATACCAAATGGCAACATCACATTGAAAGCCAGATAGTCGTGAACTGTCCAGAAAGCAGAAATGCACCGATATCACACCAGAGGAGAACCAAAGCAGCGAACTCGATTGTCAATGGAAGCCCTCTCTCGCCATCATCAATAATGTATCCGAAGCCCTTCCTTCCTATTGGTGCTCAGCGCCCAGACTACAATCTCACAGCTCCTATACTAGCCTTCTCTAATGACGAAGCAACCAGTTGATGTCAGCAGCAGGAACCGAAGTACATAAAGACGTTGCCCATGCAGACATCCGTGACAACCAGGTACTTGCCCTCACATCCTCTCTCTCACTCACCCTTTACTTGCTCACCCTTGTCTACTTTCCCCACACACAACCTCCGCGTTGCCGACAATGACCACCACCACCTTCACTTGCAAAGTACAAGCCTAGCAGTCCAGTAAATTTTTATGGTTGTATGTGCTCGTCTGCATTTTATAATTATTACAAACAAAACCAAGATGAGGGTATGTATCTATTATTTGTCTCCGAGAAAGGGGAGGTCGTTAAATCACCCCCAAAGATAGAAGTTGACTTGCTAGATATCCGGATCTGTTTGAGGAGAGAGGGAGGTCGTCGACGCCATAAAAATCATTCCAAGCAGTAAAACGGCAAAGGGGAGGATCTATAGGATGACACCAGCCGAGTTGGATAAGCTCCGGTGGCAACCAACACACCATGAATAGGGTATTTCACGACTACTTAGATAAAAATATTGTCGTGTACCTCAACAACATCCTTATCTTTAGTAATGCCGTTGAGGAGCACACACACCACGTTGATTTTGTGTTTGGTCTCCTTCGACACCACAAGTATAAGATTAACTTGGAGAAATGTTAGTCTGGTTGCACAAAGATCCTATACTTGAGTCACGAGATATCCGTAGGTGGTTGTAGGCCAGAAGATGCGAGGGTGGCTAGCATTAGAAACTGGCCACGGTCTCAGTCTGTGGCGGAGGTCAGGTCCTTCTTGGGGACGACGGGGTACTACCGCAACTTCGTAAAGAACTACACAGTTCAGTTGCCTCCCCCTGGACTGACCTTACTCGCCTTGACACTCCGTGGGAGTGGACGGATGATTGAGAGAGAGCCTTCAAGCAATTGAAGCATGCTCTCACGCATCACGAGATCCTGATGCTTCCTAATCCTGACAAGCCATTCATTGTGACCACCGATGCAAGCCAATACGGCATTGGCGCGGTGCTGGTGCAACGGGAGGGGAACAAGTTATGGCCTATCGAGTACATGAGCAGGAAGATGCCATCTCAAAAGTTGGCGAAGTCCACGTATGAGCGTGAGCTCTACAACCTCTACAAGGCCTTATTCCATCAGAGTCGTTATCTGTTGGGCAGATTCTTCTATGTGAGATCTGACCATCAGACCCTCGGGTGGATTAAGACGCAGCCTACCCTCTCTAATGCACTCAAGTGATGGATTGAGGTCATAGATCAATATGACTTCAAGCTTGAGTACTCGAAGGGGGAATAGAACAAGGTTGTGGATGCACTTTCACGTAGTGCGGATGATGTCGGTGCGCTGATCATTGAGTTTGGTTTATCTAACGACTTGACTCGATCTATGGTGAACGCCTACAAGGAAGATCCCATGACGATGGACATCATCCGCAAGCCCGAGGACAGGGACAAAGCTACATCGGACGAGTTTGTGGTGGTGTACAGGTTGCTCTTTCTTGGGAAGGCTGGGAATAAAAGGTTACGTGTGCCATCTCAAAAGTTCTTGCATAGTTTATTAATAGGAGAGTGTCATGATGCAACCGGACATTTCGGCTACAAGAAGACAACTGCCAACTTAGTGCAGCGATTTTGGTGGCCCGCTATGATTGACGATGCGAAAACTTACCTAGAAACTTGCCAAGTCTGTCAACTGGACAAGCCGATAACTCAACCGCCGCTTGGGTTGATCAAGCCTTTGCCTATTACCACTAGTCCGGGACAGAGTGTATCCATGGATTTGTGACCAGCAAGAGTGGCAAAAGACATATCTTTGTTATAGTGGACCACTTTACAAAATACGCTAGTCTAGTCACCATGCCCGAAACTGCAAAGACTGAGCATGTCATCAAGTTGTTTATGGACAATTGGGTGCATGATTTCCGACTGCCCAAGTCAATAGTAAGCAATAGAGATGTCTGTTTCACAAGTGAGATGTGGAAGAAAGCGGCTGAACAGATGGGCAGCCAACTCCAAATAACTTACGGGAATCGTCCCAAAGCAAATGGCCAAGCGGAGCTGATGAACCACGTAGTGCAGCACTTACTTTGGCATTACATTAAGCCGAACCAAGAGGACTGGGATGAGAAACTTCCTCTCATCGCCAACCTATGCAACAATGCAGTTCACAACACTACCGGTGTGTCTCCAAATGAGCTGCACTTGGGTTGGAAGCCTAAATCAGCGTTAGACTTTCTCCTTCCTGAAAAACGACCAGCTGCAACACCTGGCACCATTGAATTCGGTGTCAAGGGTGAAAACTTGCTGCCGCAGGCTGTCAAGCATATTAGGAAAGCTCAAGATGCCATGATAGCATCTGTGAACAAAAACCCATGACAATCCACATTTTAGGTAGGAGAATGAGTCTGGGTTGTTAAGTCCAATGAGCTAGGACAGGAGTTTGGCATCTGTAGAAAGCTAATGCCACAGTACTTTGGTCCTTGGGAAGTCTTAGATATTGTGGGGAATGATCCAGATGGTCCCTCCTATGTGATTAGAATCCCTGGTCACCTCGCACTTACCCTCTACTTCACGCTTCAAATGTTGCACCTTTCGTTAAGAGTCTTGAGACTGATCAGTTTCCATCAAGAAGATGAATGCTGCCCCTAACCATGGATGGCTATGTGGACATCGGCGATATTGTGGATCATCAAGACTTGCTGTTCCAAGCCAACTGGTGGCAGCGAGCGAGGAGGCCATATCCAGGCTTGCCTCGCTATTGGTGGTGATGGTGATGGTCGTCTTCCGGTAGGAGACGCACGTAGTGGGTGGAGAAGGTGATGGGAGAGAGAGAGAGAGAGAGGGAGAAGGGACGAGTACCTGATGTGTATGCAACACTCTGCATGGGCGACTTCGTCATGTACATTGGTCTTCAGCTGGAAGTGATTGCATGTTGTAGCTGTAGGCTAGTATAGGTGCCGAGTACGATAGGCTGGGCGGTGAGCGCCAGATAAGAAGAATGACATTGGATACATTGTTGGTGGTGGCGAGAAGGGGCTATCATTGACATTTGGGTTCATTGCATTGCTCTTATTTGGCGCTTGTACCTTGGTGTTATTGCTTTCTGCTTGGTACACAAGTATTTGGTCTCCAATGTCATATTGCAATTTGTTTTTTTGTCTATCGCCCTCACGCATTTTCCTCGCAAATGTCATTGAACTTTTTAAAAATGTCAGTTTTAGCTACATGGCTGTCAAGACGGGAAGGAGGCGAAGGAAGACGTGGAGGAAAGGGAAGACGGGGAGAACGACCTTACCTTGCTGGTGGTGGAGATGGTGCACAAACATGATTTCCAATTCAGAATTTGAAATACAAATGAGTTCAAGACCTGCTACTGGGTGTGGGCACACCACCCGCTCTCTGGGCATGAGTATGACTTCGTCCTCCTGGACTGAGATCCTGTAGGACCAGGTACAGGGGTATAATTTGGCGCATGGGAAAAGTAGGGCACTACCTCAAGTTCACACGGTTTGGGCATAGATGAAAGTTGGGCTTTGGGACCGAGTATAAACTTACTATAAAGGGGACTCTCATCTTTTTCAGAACAAGGCCAATGGCCTTGAGATATTGTCACTGAACTCACCGAACCCAGGTAATTCAGAAATATTTGATTTCATTCTTCTAGTTCCATCACCTTGATTTTAACAGCTCATGGGTGTACCACCTGACCTGGGCCTATTGGTAGGGGATTCTCATCTTTAAATGCGGTACGGTCTCCGTATGGATGCAATTTTCCCTAAAAGAAGATGTCTCACAATGACTCACATAATACATCCCGATCGCCCAGCATTGAACAACTTCAGAAAAGAAAGGTTGGGACAACAGAGCATCCAGAACCTTACTCCTGTCTAGACTGGTTATTCTCAGGCGCTGGCGGAATCGTACAGATAATCTTGGTTCCAGAGCTTGACATAATCCAGATTCCACAACACCAAAGACAAGGCAGGCAGACAAGAACAGATGTCAGGCCCCAGAACTTCGCACAATCAATATTCCACAAGGACAGAGGCGTCAGAGGCAAAAAAAAAGAAGGGATAACAGACAAGAGCGTAAGGCAAATGTCAGTCATGAATAACTTGAGGCAGTCATCATCAGTGAGAACTCCAGTTCCTCTCCTCAGTGTGAACAGGGTCACAAATTATGCTGTCCTACTGCCACATGAGGCCTCTGTCAGCTAGGGTGCAACACATTCTCAGCAATCAGTCAATCAATCAATCAAGCAAGCAAGCATGCAAGCATTCAAACATTCAAGCTTTGATATGGTTGAAGTCTCACAGCTTGAACTAAATTGATGATAAAATAAGGAATGGGTTTTCAACTTTTCATAAATTCATATCAATTCTGTAATTCTCTGTCGTCCTTTCATGGAACTATGGCTTATTGCCTGGCTACCCTCCCACACTGATTGTGTCTGGAGACGTCTGGGCCTGTCGGCCTCCAAAGGTCAAAAAGTGGCGTGGTCATTATTGCAGGGGCGCCCAGGACCTGGAAAACGACCTGGGTGCCCCAATTTTGTTTTTGAAATTATCGTGGGGGGGGCTTCTCTGGTGCTACTGGAGCACACCCTGTACACCGACGTCCAGACCCAGACTGTCTGGATCGGGATCCAGATGTCCGGTTGGCAACCATGGTTTATAATTTTGCTGCAGGTTGACCTAAATCTATATAAGGAACTGGATTTCATGATCACTTCTGTAATCCACTTCCATCCTTTTGTAGAACTATGACTCTGTTGTTTCGGCTTGAACTACAATAGATGGCAAAATAAGGAATGGGATATAGGGGAATTTTGTGCTAGGCGCCGTTCGGTAAGCGCCGCAACTTAACGCACCGGTGCGCTGTTCCGCGCTACCGGGAAACGCCGAGGCCCCCAGGGCCTCGCCCACGGCCACCCACCCCCCGCCCGCGTGCGGACACGCCCGGGCCGCACCGCCCATTCCCGCCCATCAACGTTTTCCCGCGCCGCCTTCGAATTCGAAGGGGGCGAGCAAGCCAGCCATCGCCATGGCCATCGCCAACGCTCCTTCCATCGAGGAGCCACCCCCCCCAACCTCCATTTTCTTCCACAAGGAGGGTCTTTGCAGATCTAAGGGAACACGATCAGATCAGGAGGAGAAACGCCAGCATCAAGGAAGACGAACATCAGTCTTCTTCCCGATCTAGAAGCAGCAGCCGAGCCAGAGATCCCGCCAATCACCACACAGGGAGGAGAAGAAACCTCCACCAAGCTGCAGCCGCCGGGGTCGTCAACCAGCGGTACGTACAGAACAAAGAATCGGAGGGCAGCAGGGACCAGCTGCCAGTCAGGACGCAGCCCCGTCGACACGAATTGACACGATTCGACGGCTCAGCGAGACACCAATCAGGAAGAACAACGCACAAACAGCCGATAAGTCGTATCCCCCCTTACTCTCCCTTCCCCCCCCTCCCTCTCGCCACTGTAGCAAACTGACAACCTGCCCTCTCAACCTCACTTCAACTACTAACCCCTCTCACCCCCAATCACCTCCACCGTCTTCCTCCCCATCACCACGCAATCACCACGCAATCACCATGCAATCTAACATCAGTCCTCTCAACCTCACTTCAACAACTAACCCCTCTCACCCCCATCCACCTTCACCTTCTTCCTCCCCATCACCACGCAATCACCACACAATCACCACGCAATCTAACACGGCTTTCCCACTTCCTCGCCCTTCACCGCCACAACCATCCACATCAACCACCCTCCCAACCCACCTATTCACGGAAACAACCACCACTCGGTAAGCGCCCCAATCAACCCCACCTCACCCCCTGCCTC